CCCAGCAAGCAAAACAAACTCTAGTTTTATCCCAAGATTTTTTTTTCCTCGGCAACTGCCGGCAGAATCTGCCGCCGAAAGGCCGCACCAAAACACTTCTGATTTTATCAAAAGGTTGCCGCAGCCGGCCAGCAGCAAAAAAACACACTCTGGTTTAGGAAAAGGTTGTTTTTTTCCTCGGTGGCCGCCCCGCAGCCGGCCAGCAACAAAAAACCACATTCTGGTTTAGGAAAGCTGTTTTTTTTCCTCGGTGACCGCCTGAGCACCAACGGGCGGCTGCACAACGAAAAAAGCACCACAGGCTCAGCGGCCAGAAAGCAAAAAGTCTTTTAGAACCCATCGGCAGCGGCCAGGAGCAAAAAAGTCCGCGGAACAAAAAAAATGACACCCTGGCCGTATATGTATGTATGCAAGTATTCATGTGTGCGATATATATATATATATATATGTATCTATGCTTTATATAATACTAAGACAATACATACGTACATACAGGACTGGGAGCCAGCGAAAGCCGTCTGTGAAACCCCAGGCCTCTGCAACTGCAGCTGGCATACCTGGTCCCACCCTGGTAGGGATGTACAAATGGCCGTTTAGAAAATCCTGGTGAAGCAGGAGGGAAGCCTTCGGTGCAGGAAGCTTGTTGGGCTCGAATCCGCGGTGCTTCATTCGGGCTGGTGCGCGAATCCTGAGTGTATCGGTGTTTGCCACTGGCGCGTGGCAGTTCTGGTGCCCGCATTCCGTCGGCGACCCCGATCCGAATGGTTTTCGACAAACTATGCCGGAGCGAGCAAAGCTTCATTTCTTCTGTATGGTTGATTGCCACGTGTGCACATGACCGCTCCCAGTTGTGCGTTAGCTGCAACCTTGGCGTGCAGGCTCCCAGGTCGGGTCCGTCGATGCAGATGTCATCGTCCCTTTGATGTTTTGGTGCCTTGGCTACCTTTATCTTACTGATCTAACTTGTCCAGTGCGCCACGGTTGACCTTCCATCATGACCCATCATGTGTACGGGTGCCGATGAATGAAGGCGGGACGAATTAGACGTTTTCCATATGTGTCGGAGCAGAGGCTCGGACTCACAAAGAGCCGCACTGCAGCTATGGAGACTCTCAGGCCGGGCGTTCTGCACGCAGATGTTCGAATTAAACGCTATGCTGCAAGCTGCAGGATGGGATTTGGTCAGTTGCAGATCGAGAACGGCACCCTGCTTGTGCTCGGTGACCATGTGGAAGTCCAGATGCGACTTGTGGAAGGGTGTCTTTGTTGCACTGAGTGCAAATAAGTCAAGTTCATCAGAAACCCGACAACAGGAGTTGCCCGAGGCTCGCCGACAACTAAGATAAATTGCGGCCGGACAACAATCCAAGTTCGCTTGCAGCCCCCTTCCCCGGAACGCGACATGACGCTTCCTAGCATGGCCAAACATCGCATGCTCCCTTGCAGCGCGTCGTCTTCTAATCTCCAGGCGGCAGTGATGTATGTTCCGAGAGGCCCAGGCCACGACGACTGAGTTGCTAGTTCCTTCCTGGCAGTGGCGAATGCAATCTTGGTTCATTGCACCGTGCCGGTACTCCACTGCCGATGCTGCTGCTGCTGCCCGCATTGCTGCGCAACAATGCGCCGTTCTTCCGCAAGTTGCATGCACTTGACCTCTTGACTTCCTCAGAAAAGCTTTCTCTACGGCTGTGCATCGCCCGTCCCAGTGCACTTCGACGACAATTGCTTTACAATTCCCATTTCATGAGAGCGCTCACTTGCACCTGAGTGGACTCGCCAAGCCCGGCAAGGCTACGGCACCTGGTTCGTCGAGACAGCACAGAACACATGTGCGAGTACCTTGCAGGTGGGCGATCTTGGCTCGAATCGAATCGTAGCCGGGGGCATAGCCGGTATTAGCCTATTCGTCGGGTGGCTGGGCGTCGCCTGAACGCTCGGCCTCGCGTCGGGGGTGGGAAGACTGTTGGGGACTTGCTCTTGATTGGAAGTGAATTGCGATACATGGCTCCTACAAAGAGGAGACGTTTTTCTTGCCGCAACTTCCTTTGCGTCAAATGCCTTTGCCGCCAGGTAACAGCTTCCAGAGACCACGTGCCTGGTTCAATTCTATGCGAGCTGACCCCATGGGCTGGGTGGACATCACTCAGGCACGAGCTGATAAAACCGGAGGCCACGGACAGCCTTACTATGATACAGGTGCAAAATCTATTTGCTCGCATGGAAGTGACCTCGGATCGGCAGACGCTCTTCCGATTCCTCAGCCACGTGGACCAGCACGTCGTGTATTTGCATGTCACGCTGCAGACACCCTGCAGTCCTTGACATGTGTCACGCACGCCAAGGTTACATAATGGAAAATCCGTGTCCGTCCGTAGTGACTCTGCTGCTAGAGAAACTTCGTTTGGCAGATCCTGTCAAGCCTTCAGTCGCTGGTGCAAAAAGAGCACACCAGCTCAGGCTGCCGACCACAGAGAAGCTGCCGCGATCGAGAGTAAGAAGTTCAGCTTCAACGGGTGCCTTGTCGGTTCGGAGACCGTGTTGCGATTGAAGCTGAGTCTGCGCAGTCGAGGTTCTTGTCGCTTATCTGCCGCTGCACTACATCGTGGGTGCTTCACAGGGTCTTGCCCCTCGCCGAATTTTTAGAAGGTAGCCTACTTCCTCAGCCATCTCCATTCATTCACGGGACATCACGGGACGGACTCTGTCCGCTTTCATGGGGTTTTGTCAACATGGCCAGAGAAACGGTGTCCCAGCGAGGGCCATGCTCATGGCCGAGTCATCTGGAGCGCTCGCGACGGATCTCGACATCGCCAACAGGCCAGTTCTGTGCGGGCGGAAGCTTGTGCAGAAAGGATAGATCCTGGTGATTGGATATCCGAGAGCCTGCCGAGAGCTATTCAGGTGGATAGAACTCCAGCGGAGGATAATGCCGTCGGCTCACTTGCCACACTTCTTTGCCAGGAAGCACACTCCTTGTCTCGTGCTTGCCTGGGAGACCGAGGATCTCGCTTCTAGTGAATCATCGCTTCTGGGGCCGGGAGTCGCGACAAGTCCTGTCAGCTCTACAACCACCAATGATCTCTACTGCGATGGTCGAGGAGAGGCATTCCTGCTGTTGCACTGCCCGATATCGATTTCGAATCCTTCAGATTGTCTGCATGGCCCCTTCGCAAGTTGAGCCAGCAATGCCAACAGCGATAAGTGCAGTGGATTCACCAATTAATGCCTTCTGGGGAATACTGGTCGTTGTGAGCAAATCAAACCGAATCTGAGCTGGCACTGGTAATTACTTATTCGCAATTCGCAGCCGCCATGTCCGGGGCATGCAGAAGGCGCGGTAGGAAGGCGTGCAATGGATTCGCGTGACATGTTACGGAGCTGTTTGAGCCGTCTCCAACTTGGGTGAGGCAGACTTAGGCTTCAACCCCACTGCCGACCCTCTCTCGAGGGACGGACCGAAGTCAAGAACGGATAGAGTATTTTCGTTCAGAAGCTCTAGACCTCAGGCTTGGCTTGAAGAAGGAAGCACTGGATTGCAGAAACCCGTAGAGGGCGCAGCGGCCTGGATGGTATCTCATGCGCCAGACGTAAAAGTTCAAGGCCACAACGTCTTGAGCTTCGTAGCAGATCCAAGATGATACTGTTGGAATTTGAGGATGTTCGAAGATGTCGGAATTCGGAGGTCGCCGTGTCGAGTTTGGTTGTCGTTGTACGTACTTCGACCGTCACCAAAACGAGCAGAAAGTCCTTATCAGAAGCTGCCATTGACCAGGAGCTACAAGAGCTCAGCCAGGAGCAGTGTGTTCCCAAGGGCTTTATACAGACAGGGACGACGGAAGGGTTGCACATTCCGTCTGGGCATGGGCCAGCAGGGAAGAACAACGCCTTGCTCGTTGAGGTGGAATGCGCTCTTCCAACGCGTTCGAGCGCAGGGTTTAGCCTCTGTGCTGCTGGGCTGCATGAGCTGTAACTGTTACTGTGCGGAGCATACCCGGATCTACGAAGCTATGACGGTGCTAAGGCTTCCCCAATATGATGGTGTGTGTCGTGACTGCACTTCCCAAGACTGGTGCCGGAGCTTCGCTGTCACTCTTATGAGGGTTAGCTGGATACACGAGGTGAGGAAAGCCGGAGGCGATCCTGGACGTCTCCGGTGCCTGAGATCCAGAATAGGTCCCATCGTCCCGCCAGGAGAAATGGCGCTCGTCCGTCCATTCATGTGTTTTGTCGTGTGGATGATAAACTCCGGAATGAGCTTGACACCGATGCTCGGGTCAGACATGCCAAGGCTACCCTGGACAGATATGCCAACGACAGCTGGCATTTCAGATAGACATGCGGACAGTGGAAGCAACCAGCACCAGCCAAATTCCAGAACAACGTGCGGCAACTGAAGGCATCCAAAAGAGCAACTGCAGTTTCGCCAGAAACGCACGAAGTCAATGATGGCGGTTGCCACTTCAGGGCCAAGGGCTGCAGCCGACACGCGCATGGAAGCATTGAAGCCGCGCACCTAATATGCTACCTTCGAGACCAATCCCATCAGGAAAGGTTCAAAAATCTAACTCCATGGAACAAATATCTGCAACATTGCAAGCAAACCTGCATGGATTGCATGAAAAACTGCGGTCAGCTGCGTTGCAGTTCTCTGCTCTAGCTTTCGTAGCCCGCTTCTCAAGTCGCATTGGAACCGCTTAGATTTGAGACTCATTGCGCGCGGGGATGCAGGGGGATGCAGAGGGCTCAGGACTGCTCTGCTGGCAAGCCGGTCTGAGCTAGGGCGAGTTTCAGCAGTGGACTGGTAGCCGAGAGGCTCTGCAGGCTGCATCAGAGACCACTCAGTCGACATAGGGCATGAGAGAGCATTCGGTCAGTGTGGCGCAACCCAGCAGGATTGATTTCAACGTTAATTATTTGTAAGTCTAGTACAATATAAGATAACTTATCGACCATGCTTACAGATGGGTTTTGCATGTTGAGGGACAGCGATTCTGTGATCCATGTGGCGTGCGCTCCTTCTGGTGCCTGCTGCGGGTGCCCCTAGCGTGGCTTGCCCAGGGCTGCAGCAGGGCAGCTTACAGGCCAGAGCTGGTCCTATACTACAATATTATAATAGACTAGAGTATAGTGCAATATACTATAATATACTACCAGTATCAGTATAACACTGTAAACGCAGACCTTTGCAGACCTTGGCCTGTGGCCGGGGCATAGGGAGCCCGACACGGGCCCGAAGGCTGCATGCAGCGCTTGTCGTTGATGGTACATGCAGTGCATTGGCTTCCCGTGTCCATGGAGGTGTGTGAAAGATGCGTGCACGACGATCTTTGCGCGTGGCTTTGTTTGAAAAAGACCTCCTTTACGACCAAGCTGCCCAAGTTATCATAATGATTTGTCTTGATGATTTCGCTTTGGCATCTTCAGCCGAGGGCGGGGCTGTCATGCGACAACTTCATGCAGAAATGCATTGAACCAGCGTCTCGCCTGAAGTGCAGGAAGGCTTTGGACAAGGCTGTGCAGGGCCACAAGTAAACTCGTGACAAGCTGAGGCATGGAATGCCTCCGAGGCTTTGGAAGCCTGTCCAGAGGACTGCTTTGCTTCTGGAGGGTCAGGTCGCGACCCAGAGGGTGCAAAAGAGTCTCTTGCTCGTTGGATTTCAGAGTCTGAGCCATGGCACCAGGCTCATTGTTCTTGACCCCTTGCTCCTCACGTTGGATGTGTGATGCTTTTGTTTCAGGGGCGACAATCACTCGCAGGACCCGGAGCGGCCCGAGACCTGGGCAGCGCAGTGCAAGCTATCCTGTTCTGACCAGCAGGCGGGTCCCTTTGTGCGGTTGTTCAACTCTGGTCTTGGGCAGCTATCAGACGTGCACTCTGTCCTCCTCGCTCGCAGCGAGACGCAGGGACTAGTGGTGCCACGCGATGTTCATGGTGTGGTGGTGCGAGCTTTCTAGATTCTAGATGTCTATACCGATCACAGCCTAAAGTCTTTCCATACATATTCATTAGATGATATATGTTGACACACATCCATTCAGACAACGTCAGCTTTCAGCATCTTCGTTTGCAGTTTGTCTATGGTCCGTGCGCTGTGTGCCCTTCTCTCATGCCTGGCACTGGCATGCGATGCAGCAGACGAGCTCCCCACAGAGAATTCGACCTTGAAGTTGTGGCCCTTCTGAAAGCCTTCTCTTCGTTGAGTGTAGGACAGCCTCTGCACCGGTTGTGGGTTTGTGCCCAGGACTTGTTTCGGCTGGCGGTTGGAGCAACCGGAGCTCCTCGTTACAAACTCCGGGGCCTTCCTGAACGGAGTTGCGATCAGTGATGATCAGCTGCGGAGTATCCACGAGGTTGCAAACGATCTTGTTGTTACCGACGACCAAGTTCTCACAAACTTGGACATGCTGGCAGGAATTGAACGAGTTGGTGGCAATGTCGAGATCCGCTATAACTCAGCCCTTCAGGATTTCTCAGGTTTGTCAGGCCTGCAAAGTGTTGGTGGGTCGGTAAATATTATCGGCAACAGTGGCGTTCAAGATCTGGCGGCGTTCGCCGACTTAAGGGTCATCGGAAGGTTTTTGAGGGTGCATCACAACGCGCGGCTGGAACTACTTGGTGGGTTTGACTCGCTGACCCGTGTCGGCAGAGATCTTTCCATTCGTGGTAACAGCAAGCTGCAGAGCATGCCGCGAGGCTTGCCTGCATCGCTTGGATTAGAGCTTTTCGTCTTGTAGATGCGTTGCTGTTAAGTGGTGTCTTGTTGGCGTAGCACGGCAGTTCTTAGATTCTTTGCGTAGATAGGCTAGCACGCGAGATTCGTTTTGTATGGCGACAGAGCTGCAGCTTTAAGGAATGCCCCAGCTGAAGATGGTTGACGGCAAGGTGGAGGCGGTGTAGGGAACTGCAGCCGGGGAGTTGAGACGCAGGGTTTTCAGTAGTGTGGTGATCAGTGCGAGAAATAAAATGTCTTGGATGACCTCCCATCAGCCGCGCTCCATCTTGCGAAACAAAGCGTGTAGCAATCGGCACCGCGTGAGGTTTGGGCAAGGAGTGTCGACCTTGTGCATCAGTCGAGGTGATATTCAACAGAGCCATGAGTGCGGCTTATGGAATGGAGTCCCTCGAGTTTATTGGGGGGGACCTAGCGATCAAGGAGTGAATCTGGCTTTCGCGTGTAGCCTCAGAGTGATTAGAGTGATTGACTGAAGTCGAGTCCACGCGTGAGGACAACGATAACCTGACCAACATGACCATGCTGCCTGCTGTTCGGGAGATCATTGGCAAGTTCGAAGTAAGCTACAATCAGGCTCTGCTGGAGGCTCGACATAGAACATGCTGCTTTGTCCAGTACTGCGATGCAGTGGTTTGACGCCAGGTTGGTGGACTTGAGAACCTTACCCAGAACCTGAGCCTGCACTGAGTGAAGGGGTTGTCAGCTGCACCATCGATTCCGGAAGTCATCGTAGCATGTTGTTCAGATCTGTGATGAAGACTGGTATGTTGGCCTCTATAGGTCGACCGCATAGACAGTGTCGGGAGATGTAGACATTAAGCGCACCTTGAGGTAGCAGAATTGGGAAGGCTAGAGGAAGTAGCCAGGAACTCTCCCGACAAGCTTTGCTCGTCTAATCTTTTCCCTATCAGTAGCAAGGATGTCGAACACTCCATCAGGACTAAGTTCGGAGTGCCAGCAGATGCTGGCAATGTTTCCGTCGACAGGGATTGGTGCTGTGCATGTTGGCAACAGCAAAACCTCGGATCAAGTGATCGAGTGGGCATGTCGAGGGAAGCTGCGCGACCAGGAAAATTGAAAGAGTTTACATCAACTACAATATGACCTGACACGATGGTTGAGATCATGAAGCCCGAACGAGCGGTGTCAGGTCAACTGCCCAGCGATCCAGTGGTACCGGTTTGACTTGGTTGGGCTGGGTTTGAATGTTGTCTGGGTTAGGGTTTGGGGCTAAATTCGTGGGTACACGTTGCGCAAGCCAAGTCGCCACATGAATCTAACAAGTCCGATCGAGGTTGAATCAGGTCAGTCTTGCTTGGGCAGGCTCGCAAAGTCAAATTCGATTTGTCTGAGATTATGATTCATTGGGCTTGTTCGGGGTCGGCCAGAGAAGCAGGACGTTTCGGGAATTCAGCTTGTGTTGGAGTCGATGTGAGGTTAAGATAAACAGTCTAGCTCGTTTGTTGCTCGTGCAGTTTTTGCTTTCTTGTCTTCTCATCATGTCAGGCGGGCGTTCCCATACGCTTGTTTGTTTGCAAGGCCTGTTCAAAAGATTCCCCGGATGCCATTCCAAAATGCGATTATTGAACTACAGGAAGATGCAAAGTGCGAGGGTATGGTAGGTCTGTACACTTTTGAGTAATGCAGGAGCAGCAAGAGCTGTGTACTGTGTTGGCTTTAGCGCAGGACGTGGGTAGCCAGCAGGAGTGTTCGTTTGCACGGGCTTGTCCTGTCTCAGGATTGGCAGCCTGGCAGTGGTCAGCAACCCATCGCTCAAGATCGCCGACTTCGCGAACCTATCAGTTGTCCATGGTGCGGCTGAGGTCATGTATAATGAGGGGTTGCAGGAACTGGGCCTCAAGAAGCTTGTATCAGTTGGCGTGACTTCGAGAGATGGCGAAAGAGATGACGAAGACAACACACCAACTCACTTCAAGCTCAATGACAACGACAACATGACGCAAGTCGAGCTTCCCAGCCTTGTTTCTATCGCTAATCTGGAAGTACGTTGGAATGCGCAGCTTAAGCAAGTCTCGACGACTGTGGCGGTCACCCACAGTATCATTATCGAGGCAAACTACCTTCTGCAAGAGATCCTTATGCCCAACACCACAGAGATCACTGGCGAGCTTCGTGTGGCCTTCAACGCAGTGATGCCTGACATCTCCAGCTTCGATTCGCTAACGCTTGTCAAGGGTGATATAAACATTCAAGAGAACAAGGGCTTGCGGGACATGTCTGGCTTCGGGAAGCTCCGAGCAGTGACAGGAGACTTTCAGGTAACCTCCAATCCAGCCCTTCAGGATTTGAGTGGCTTGTCCTCCGACTTCAGTGTCGGAGGGAACTTGCAGATCTCAGAGAACGACAACTTGTTGGGGCTTAGTGGCATGTCTGCCCTGCCCGACGTGAAGGGTTTCGCCGTCCTGAGCTTCAACTGTTCGGGCAACTCTGTGAGACCTGCGAACACCGCAACATGCACCCAGGCTGCAGGTCAGCAAGTAGAACAAACAGCTCGCCGTTGCCGCTGTTGCCTGTTCTTTTGTTTGGTTTCCCAGCATCATGTCTCGGCACGGTGCTTTGCTGGCAGACCAGGCGTTCCTTGCGAAGCCTGGCACTACGCTGAAGATCAGCGCTGCAAGGTCAATTACACATTTCTCGTCATTGTTGCTTTCGTTGCTCTCCTCTCCTTCTGCATCGTTGCCACCCTCTTCGTGACTTTCAGGCTCATGCTGGCATTTCTTGCTGCATGCTGTCTGCCTGAGTCGCCAGGATGTTTATCCCTGCAGCTTTGAACCTCTTCAACATAACCAAACAGCTCATGCAGGAAAGTCATGCCAGTGGAGAGCATCGTAGCGGCTCCGGGCAAGGTCCTCCTCAGGACTCAAGACAGGCAGACGTTGTTCTGGCCTTGCGAGACTTTGCACGCGAGCCCCTGTTTCGCGAAAACTGCCGTTGCCCTGCAGGCATTACTTGCTCCGAGGCGTTTGGAGCTGTGAATTCCCGTTGGTCGTGGACGGCACAGGCATATCTTAGGGCTTAGGGTGTGTTTGTGTGTGTGTGTGTGTTATTGTTTTTCATGCTCCTGCTTGCAATCGCAGGATGCGATCTCCTGGATAAGCCGTCTAAGAGGCCTCTCAAAGCCAGGGCTGTCAGCGCTGCTTGATTCACAACGGGCGAAGACGTTATTTTTTTGAATAGTTGCTCGAAAGTTCACGATAGGCTACCTTTTGTGACTATGCCGGCGATACATTACACTCGGCAGGACAAAGAGCTTGAGGTCCTGGTAGTCGTCGAGAAAACAGGGAACCCGAGACGGTCGATGAGCTCTCTCCAAGACATTCCTTTATTTATGGACGCGGCTCGGCTGACTTCTGTTTCAATGAAATCAGGCTCGGGCAGCAAGCTTGGATAGCTTGGCAGGTATTGCAGACAGAGCCAGGCTTTGGTATGCCAGTCGATGCCATGGCTCCCTTCTCAGGGGGGAATCCGCCACGCGCTTGCGCATGGAACCTTAAGCAGCCCGAACCCTCAGGCTTCAAGCAGCACTGTCATCAGCGGCCAGGGGGTGGCCCGTGTTAGCTGCCCTTGGGAGCTGCGAATGGTTGGCTTCGGGGTGCCTGCTGCGGCATCTTGGATCAACCAGCCCGGTGTTCTTCCATAACCCGGAGATGGTTCTAATGAGTGTGAAGTGAGGTCTGGCTGAGCTTCTTCCTAGTAGCGATTGCTGCGTTCCTTGGCGCTGGCTTCCTGCTTGGCATCGAGCCCTCGATCATCCTAGATTCAGTCGGCTGCGGCTCCCTCCTAGGGGCGGGAGTATCCCTGGCCTTTCGAGTGGCTCGCTTTGTCGCAGTAAAAGTTGTTTTAGAAAGCCGGTGCAAGACTAACGGAAGCCTTTCTTGAATTGCTGCAGTGTCGGGGGGAGTCTGGTTTCGTGTTCAAGTAGCCTCTACCCCTGTGTATGTGCTCAAAGTAAAGGCCTATGCGATCCGTCGCAGACAGTGGAAGAGGCGTGCTCGAAGCAAGGCAGTTCGAGAGAAGGCTCTACTTGGGGATTTGGAGCATGCTGTGCGGAGCGGAGATGACCCAGCCCTACATCGCATCCAGTACGAGCTGCAGTCCATGAAGTCCTGGAACCCTCAGCGCTTCTCCTCGACATTGCATGCGGTGAAGCAGAAGCAGAGTCAGGAGGCAGGAAGCGACAGCAAAGCAAGTATACAGGTCCACAGGCATGCTTTTGCCCTGCCCGCTTAAGTTGGGCCCGTCAGTTGAACCTAAAGCCTGAGGCAGGAGTCAGCATCTCGTACTTGCTTTCCGCCGAGTTCAAACTGCTTGCACAGACGCGCAGCAAGTTGGATGATCCGAATTTCTACGATCTCAAAGATGCATTCTTTCTCTCCACCGACCCAATAGCAATTGGCAGCGACAAAGTTTGCCCTCGTGACGGCAAGCTGGGATGCGCTCTTGTCGATGTTTTGGACCTTTGCCACAGGGGAGACTGCACACACTTCTTGTCCTGGACCTGGGGGTATTCCTTAGACCTCGTGCGCAGCTCCATGACGGCATGGATTGACCAAAGCAAGATCGATCCTCAGAAGACCTTTTTGTACATGTGCTTCTTTGTCAACAATCAGTACAGGATTCTGCTGGATCAGAATGGCGCAGGCAGCATGAGCTCAAACCTGAAAGATGTTTTCGGCGATAACTTGCAACGGATTGGCCGCATGGTCGCACTCCTTGACGGTTGGGAGAAACCGACATATCTATCTCGCATCTGGCGACTTGGTGGATGAGTTCATCAGCTGTATGCCGTTTGGGATATGCGGGTCCATGTTAGATGCTGAGAGTTCAAGCCTTTGGCCTGTGAAGGACAATTTTCGAGCAGTACACGGCGGTGGTGTTGGAGATCGAGGCACTTGAGGGAAAGGGTATGCGCTTCAGATGTTCATCCTTGCTTGATGACGCCCATCAGCAGGTCACATTTATCCTGCCTGAAGTGTCTGGAGATAGCTTGCTCGAAGAGATCCGCAAAGGCGAGGAGGGCATTGTGTGGGCCTGAGGCAAAGAGCGACGGCATGCTACGACTGCAGAACTCAAGGAGAAGCCAAAAACTAAAGAACAATCTCGTTACTCTTATGTTGTGCCAAGTGTACTCGGTTCACCTTGTCAATCACTTCTTGCACCGATGAGCAGTCAGCAGCATTAAGGTTCGCGTGCGGGATTCCCTTTGCGATGTCGACGCCGAGATCGCGTGCGCATGGTGTCCAGAAGACGAAATGCAAGTCAAAAGTATGATCGAGGAAACCATCGGCTTCGAGAAAGTAAACGCCAAGGTGCAGGAACTTATGATTGCTTGGGTGGCAACCATGGTCAAGGACTCTGCGATACTGTGAGTGCGCTGAGCGAGATTCAGGATCCCCTTTGCTATTCTCCATAAGCCTGCAAGGACTATTTGGGTGGCCTGGTCGTGAGTGGGTCTCGACGGTTGAAGCGCTCGGGAGCACAGACGCAGCTCCTTTCAACTACGCCGCTAGACAGAAAGAACATGTGGATGTGTTGCAAGAAGCCAGGCCTTTGACATTTGATTCATATTGTTTTGTGACAGGACTCTCGGCCACAGGTCAAGCACCAGGACGAACGCCAGCACAGTGGCCGCTTCGTTTGCCAATATGTTGTTGCAGCTTCCCATGGCTACCTTGGACCTTATTCGGGGTGGCTTGTTCGTTCTTAGCACATCTTAGCACGCCGGTAGAGGAGCTAAGGAATTTTAGAGAAGTCTTTCACCCATTGAGAACACGACTCTTCATGTTCCCATGCGGAGTTGAAACATCCAATTGCTTGGCTTGGTTCAGACCTGTGTGTTGAGTCTTGTGCATTTTCGTAGGGTTTCTGAGCCTGCCGAGGTGAGAACCGAAGTTCTGAATGTCATTTGGCTTGCTTGTGTTTTACGATGTTTTATGCTCTTGCCCGCCAGGAAATGTTAGCCTCTTGCGGCTCGGGACAGGAAAGTATCGGTTTTAGTATCTTTTGTCAGTGAAGATTCGAGTCAGAGAACCTATTAATTCCATGCGGGAGCTTGCTTTTTCCATTCGTGGAGCACGTTACGGCTCGGGCCTGCGCAGTGTCTAGGGCGTGGTTCCATGAGGGTGTATCAGCTTGTATCTTTCCTTAGCATTCCCCCCCACAGCATAGAAAACCCTATACTTTCCCGTGGCCCTTCCTACTGACATCTGCTTGCGCTGGCAATTCGGCACAACATTCGATTCCTTGTCCACGTTCGAAACACCACGTTGCATCCATTTTCTGACTGCAAACCTTCTCCGTGCAACAAGCCCTCACCATACTGAGTAGGAGGTGGCGACGGCATGCGCCATGTTGTCATATGCCAGACCTCTGCTCCCTGACAAACGAGCCAAGGTGTCGTTGCAACCGGTCCGACCGGGGCCTCGCGATGAGCCTGTATGGGCAGCTTACATCGGGTCTTCCACGAACGTGGAGACCTTTTAACTTTTAAGCTTGCGATGCTATTATGCAGCTTCTATGCCTTGGAAAGCCGTGCTTAGGAGTGCAAGCCCTTGGCACGTGCTAAGAAAGAGAGATGCTGCTCCAGTACTGGCCACGATAGGCACTCACGTTCTGCGGAGTGCTTGCGAGTGGGCACTTAGTGCGGGGATGCGGTTCACCGCAGGTTTCTACAACTTTGTTCTCGCCTCTCTCTTTCTGCCCTTTACAAGTATTTTAAGCCATATCCTTTCCGCGCGCTTCTCAGGTACGTGTCTGAAGCGTCACGGGTGTTGCATGGTCAGACGGCCGATTGCGCAGCAAAAGTTCGCGCAGAAGTGCCATAAATGTATAGGTTGTGACCTGCGCCCGGTTTAAACACGTGCTTCGACCAGAGAGCACGTTAGATGCTTCCGCTCGAGCCGAGTTGCAGCGGAACAGGTGGCATTGAGCAAGAGCCGTCTCTGTTTCAGCCGTGCGTGGAACGCGAGCTTTTTGTCGTGTTCGATGTGTTCGACAAAGAGGTTCACTTTTCGGCCTTTCTAGGCATATTCGGCCACAGAGGCCTTTCAGTGTTCCTAGGCATATTTGGGCATGTCTGAAACTCGAAGGCTCACTTTTGCCGCCGCAGCATTGGCCAGAATGGCTTGGTAAAGGAAGTGAGGCGGAGTTGCTGATCTACACAAAGTAGCTTCAGGCCTGGACGAGTTTTATACATTAAAATGCCAGCTGAATGATGAAAATGGCTTTCTCCTCAGACTTTGGGAGCCAAAGCGTATACGCCACTCTAGCCTGCATGCCCAAGTCATACCAAGGCACTTCGTGTGCTGCTTGATGCTCATGCTGTCGGCTTTCCTGGATGCATGCGCATTACAAACTGCAACATGTGCAGGCGCCGTGGGGGTGCGCAGTCAACCATTGCCTCAATGAGGCCGTCTAAGGGATTTGCTCCTAGTCTGTTGACCATCTTGCTCTCATTCTCCCATCTCGCGAGGACTTCCCATGCAATTGGGTGGTCGGCTGTGGCATCCCAGCGGGACTTTCCCGAACCAGAGCCTTGCCTGAACGAGCCTCTTCTCGATGGCTTAGGTCTCAAAGAAGCGGCTTGTGATTTCTTCGGTGATTTTGTCCATGTGTCGCTGAGGTCTTGCTTGCTTGCGAGGCTGCATCGACCACGACGAAATGCTCAGGACCCTGGCACATTCGGTTGATGCCTCCGCATCCTAAAGCGGTGGGAGGACAGCGGGCTACGGGGCCACGACTTGCCCTGATGCCACTCGCGCAAAATCCATTGTGCAAACAGTGCAACACTCGCACCTCTCAGGTCATCTCAAAGTTCGGATGCCAAGGCGGGTGCTAAAGTCGAGCTATATGAGCCTCTGAGCATTGTTGCCGCTTGATTCAGTGAATGCATGAAGACGTCTCGATGCAGGCTTGTGGGCTCCGATCTCCGAGTTTTGCCCAGTCTCCTGTTCGACAGCAGAATGCCCCTACCGCTGCAATCGCGATGAAGTGGCTAGCGTGGACCAGAAGAGGCTTTGGAACATGAGCGCTCATTCTACTGGCGTAGCGGCTAGTGACGAACGTTTGCCGGCTTCCAGTCCTGGAGGTGCTGGCAGAGAGTGGAAGACGATGGCGTCAGCTGCGTAGATGCCATCCGCTCTGGTCAGGCCATACCGCTTTCCTAGCCTGTGACAAGCTGTGTGAAACCTGTGTCGTGCTTTGCGATCAGGACTGTCATTGTAAATGTGCGAGCATTTACTTCACTCAGAGCGGTGTGCAAGGACGTGCTCCTTGGCAGTTTGGGTCGTTAAGACTTGTGCCGGAGTAAATCCTTTGATTGCTATGCTGGGTGTTGGGGTGGCGGCGATGATGATGATGATGATGATGGTGAAGATGACGACCACTGCTCGGACACCGTAGTGAGACTGATGAGCGAAGCGAAGTGGTCAGGGCAAGGCGTGCAAGGCGATGTGTGGTGTCTGTCATGAACTTTAAACTCAAACATCGGGTGATTGCCTTTGAGTATGGCCGTCGAGATGTGGCCGTCAGATCCGAACCAAGCCACGCCCAGATAGGGCGCCAACTACAGTATGCTTCAACGGTTGTGTCATGTATACTCTGCAGGCTTTCAGAGTTGCACACTGCTCCAGGTATCGTGTATGAATGAGCCCCCAACACATACGGAACGAGAGGGCTGCTGCAGCTGACGGTCCCGCCAAGCTCTGAGGCAAACGGAGGTGCTTTTCAGATCAGTGATATGGTGGATGGAGTGCCTCTTGCTGTGAATCGAAAGGCAGGTGTTGCAGAAATCCTCGTGCGGCATTCGACTATTCTCGTCTTGGCTGTTGAGTGCTCTTTCAACTTCTTGGCTCTTCGTCGGCGACAGGCATTTGCAGGACGTATGTTCACCATCGATTTCACTGGTGAACGAATGCGGGCGGAAGACCCTGGCAATTCACAAGGTGAAGCACTGAGCTGCGTCGTACTGATACACTGCTTGCATGCAAAGAAGAACTTTCTGCTACTGTAGTCCAGGACCTCGAATGAAAATCCTCAGAGAAGGTGATGTCTGCAGTGACTTGGCAGATGAAAGACACGGGCCGACACGGGACCTGTTGCCCGCCCCGGGCCGCGCGAAGGCAGAGATCCGCTGCCAGCCAACTTGACTGGCATCGAGTGCCGACAGCCGAGCCAATCTGGACTTTTTACAGGCACAACACATTGTGAGATAAAAAAGGGGAGCCCACTCGCAAGAGCTTGGCAGGCTGGGTATGCACGACACCACCCTCTATGGCCACCGAATTCTTGCACCGCTGGGGTGGCATAACCGTGAATGTCCCCGGCCCAAGCTGTAAGAGTCGCTTTTCGTTGTTAGGACCGCTGTGATCATGGGCTTCCGGAGGATGCCTGCAACGAGCCTCAAGATGTCGCACCGCAGAACTGAGGCATGTGGGAAGTTCCAGCTGTGCCACTGCAACCAGATGTGTGACATAGCGGCCAACTGGGTCCGTGCTGGCAACCTGGAGGTGGAGCCGGTTCTCACTTGGGGCAGTGGCTTGGCCTCTTCCGAGAGAAATTTTGCAAGCGTAGAGGCATAGAGTCATGCGCTGGAAAGAGTGTGAGATGTAGCCCGGTGTGCCAGGTATGGGCCAACCACTTCCTGGTTGCGATGCATACATTCCAACCTTGCCACCGGCACCTGACCCCGTCGAGCCTGTGGAACCCAAGCAAAAAGCAGCATGTTTTTTTGTTTTAAATGTTTGATCGCATCAAGCTCAAAGTCCGCTTATCATCGCTCTCCCGACTGTGATCAGCTCGAGTCTGCAGCCAGATCCTGCATGAGTAGGGCCCCGGCACGACGTACCAAGTGTGTTGCTTTGGTTCGTGGGCTGCAGATTGCGATCTCGGCAGTACTTGCATCCTGTCTTGTGTTGAGAAACACTCGTAACTTCCCACTTCAAGTTTCAATTCATGGACCCAGTTGTGGACGTCTTCACTAACATGTGTAACCCGTCGGAAGTGCCAGAAGGAAGCGCGCATTGGCATGCCTTTGGAAATGCGCCGCAGCGTGTTTTTTCCAAAGCGTCCCAACCGTTGTGACCAACAGCCGGAAGCAAACGAACCAAGCCTTCAATGCTGAACCATAGACTGCTGGGAGTCGCTACGAGCTCTAGTCTATCACGAGGGGGTTTGGCAGCTAGGCAGCTCTAGGGAAGCAATTAGGGTTGTTCGAGTGTCATACCTGCTCAGCTCAGAGGAGATACTACAAAAGTCTATTGTCACCATCTACGTCAGCATTGACGGCGGTCTGCAGCCACAAGACGTCGTGTTCTCGGCGATCGCGGCGGCTTTTGCAAGTTACACATCGATGAGGCAATTGAGCGTTTCACTGAGGGTGGCCATCAGCTTGTCCAGCGCCTTTTTGCAGGTCAAACCTGCTCGGCAAGGTGGTTCCAGAAACAAGCGATGTCGAGATAGAGGACTTCGACCGCTTCTCGGCGATGATGCGCACATCCTAGAATAATGTTCTTGTCACTTCGTCCTGATCGGAGGCCCCTTTCGCAGGCTGCACACTGTCAGGACGCGAGTTGATAATCGCATGTTTTGCTGTTTTCTGCTGTATGAGGCGGTCAGTTCCATGCGCTTCAACATGCAGTCTTGGAAGCTAGGTGGGGCATGTGTCGCGACTTGACTCCGTTCAGGAGGGCCGCAGAGTGTGCAGACGACGATGCGGAATTCGTGGCCAAGGTCACGGAATTGCTGCTTGTGTCGCCGGAGTGAGCTGAGTGAGCGGATGCTTGCCGACAGTCCAGCTTGGGGGTGACCAGCTGCGCAGAGGCAAGGGCCAGGGTTGTGTTCCTGGCATTTTACCAGGCTCGCAGCAACTTTCTTGCCAAGGCCTTGACGCTTCTAGGAAACCTGGATCTACTCTGCTCTGACGAAAGTCTACAAGCAGCAGCTGGATCCTCAGCTTCTCAGACTCACGCCTGGGCCTCGGCCCTAGGCCCTAGGCCCCAGGCCCTAGGCCTAGAAGTCTTCGGCACGCCCGAGCGGCTCAAACCTTGGCTCAACTTGGAGTGGAGGGCGAATGCAAGGCCTGCCATGGATATGCACTCAGAGGGAGGGGTTCAGCCGCTGCTAATTGAAGCCGCAGCTCCGGTGCTCGGTGTTCAAGAAAGAGCAGCGATGTAATATAGCAGCGGGAACGCATGCAGATCAAGTTCAAGCATTCACAGGCTCAGCTTTGTCCGTGCTGACGTCATCGCACTGCTGGCACTTCGATTCGAGGACGAGAGAGGCTGACTGATCGCATCCAGCGTCCTTTGCCATGTGTGACTACTTCGACATCTTGCCCAACGGTCCAGATGCTCATCGGCAAGTAAATGCTGGTGGCGGTGGGGGTGCTTTGCACTATTTGGTGCAGAGATCGTCAAGCCGAACTGCTTACGACGATGGTGACCTCCCATGCTGTGATTCATTGCCGGTAAAACTCACGGAAGAAAGCAGGGATGTCACTGCAGGGTTGGCCTTGTACAGGAAGTGTGCTTGCATGCGCGGGTTTGTGCGCACTTGGAGACGACTGCTCCCGACTGGAAGGGTCTCAAAACCAGCCTGCCTGAAGCGTAATTAGTTGCACTCGCTATACAGCTGCACCACCAGAAGCGTTGGCATGTTTGACTTGATGTCATGCTGTAGCTTCAACCAGACATGTGTTCGTTCTGAGGCGCCTCGGCTCACCTGCATCTTGTCTATAGGCTCTTCTGCTCATGTCGGCTTTTGTGGTTCTCCCACAGGCCACCCAGGTGCCTCGTGTGGTGGAGTCGATCTACAGCCCCGGAGCAGCTTCCAATGGCAGCCCTGGGCTGGCAGGCAGCTTTGGGCGGAGTCTGGTCCCTTTGTGTCCATCGTGGAATCATGTCCCTTCACTGTCAGACTATCAGACTCTCAGACCCTCTCGACAGGCGCAGACGTCTCCAACTGGGTGACAAGCGCTGCCTTGGCGACCGTGGCAGCTGTGTCTCTCTACAGAGCCATGAGAAAGCGGAACTGGTCTCGAGTAAGCCTTGGTCCAAATGGTGGCTACTTGTCACTGCTAGGGCTAGTGGAGATAAAGTGCAGCATGCAGTGCAGCGGAACCTTCGAGAAATAGCATGTGGCATTTGCAGAGCAGAGTGCCAGCGTGCCAGGCTGCTTCTACGAGTACAAGTTTCGCGCCAAGCCTGGTGCCAAGTACAGGTATCGCTTCTCAACAGACGTCTATACTCCAGAGTGGGGCCACTTTCCAAACGAAGAGAAGGGCCGCCTGATCCGCTATGGCCAGCTCCTCAACAAGGGCACCGTGAGAATGCCCATGGCTGACACCGACGATGACAATGATGGTTGGGGGCTGTTGGGCGGTGCATCTAGTGACGGTGCTGTTGGAGCACTTCTGTTGGATTGCGACGGCACGCTAGCCGAAACAGAGCGAGATGGGCACCGCGTTGCGTTCAACAAAGCCTTCGCAGAGAAGGGCTTTGACGTTGAGTGGGATGTTGATCTTTATGGAGATTTGTTGACCACTGGCGGTGGAAAGGAGCGAATGACCCGGTACTTCAAGGAAGTCAACCCTGATGCCTGGAGCTTTGCAGACGAGCCCTCGCCCGACAACCCTGTCATCATGGAGCTGCACGAGTTGAAGACGCAGATTTTCATGGATATCGCCTCGCGGCTGAACTAGCGTTTCTGTCTGTGTGGCTGGCGGTCTGTCTGCCTGACTCTGCTTGTACGTGGGCACGTTTTATACGTAGATGAATATCTGTGTGTATGCATGTATGTAGGTATGTTGTACTGCCGCTACAGACCTCGCCGGCCCTTGTCGAGCGCGAGCGCTAAAGTGTGTGTGTGTATGTATGTGTGTATGTATGTATGTATGTATGTATGTATGTATGTATGTATGTATCTATCTTCGGTTGAGTCCCCTTTTGCCCTGTTTCACCATAATTAATTTGCAACCCGCGCTTTGGGCTGCGTCGACCAGACTCTTTGCCCCAGACAGAGAAACAGAGAAAATGTATGTATCTACGTATGTATGTATGTATGTATGTATGTATGTATGTATGTATGTATGTATGTACGTATACTTGTATATAATGGATGTACACACACACATATAACTATAAATATAGAATAGAAATACAAATATAGAATATAAAAAACACATATAAATATGAATAAAGAAGCATATACTATATTATCTTATATCATATTACACAATATTCTATCATGTTAATATTATATTATATTTTATGATATGATATGATATGATATGATATGATATGATATGATATTATATTATATTATATTATATTATATTATATTATATTATATTATATTATATTATATTATATTATATTATATGATATGATATTATATTTATATGATATGATATGATATGATATGA